GCTCTAGGCTAATTTATAACAGTAGATAGCGCTGTAGACTAGTGCTTGATGGTGCTCTAGGCTAATGTTTAACAGTAGATGGCGCTCTAGGCTAGTTTATAACAGTAGATGGCGCTGTAGACTAGTGCTTGATGGTGCTCTAGGCTAATGTTTAACAGTAGATGGCGCTCTAGGCTAATTTATAACAGTAGATGGCGCTGTAGACTTGTGCTTGATGGTGCTCTAGGCTAATGTTTAACAGTAGATGGCGCTCTAGGCTAATTTATAACAGTAGATGGCGCTGTAGACTTGTGTTTGATGGTGCTCTAGGCTAATTTATAACAGTAGATGGCACTGTAGACTAGTGCTTGATGGCGCTCTAGGCTAGTGTTTAACATCAGATCTCTGTCTGTGTTTGGTGTTCAGGGCAAGAGGACAAACCTGCGTAAATCTGGATCCGAGCGCATCGATCACAGCATGCGGGTGCGCTTCAATCCTCTGGCTCTCTTACTGGACTCGTCGCTGGAGGGAGAGTTTGACCTGGTGCAGAGGGTCATATATGAGGAAAGACTCTTTTCACTGTTTAAACTTCAGTGTCAGAGTGTGTGTGTGAGTGGATATTAGTATGTCATAGACACTAACGACACTGTTCTGATGTTTGTTTGCTTGAACAGGTTGAGGATCCGAGTCAGCCGAATGACGAGGGCATCACTGCGCTCCATAATGCAGTGTGTGCGGGTCACACAGAGATCGTCAAATTCCTGGTTCAGTATGGAGTCAATGTGAACGCAGCCGACAGTGACGGATGGTGAGCAGCGCCTTAACACACTGCAAAACATACAGGCTGTTTAATCACATGATTCCACTTCAGTAACTAATAGTTGATGAGGTGTGTCCTATATCGCATACTTGTGTACTAATCTATGTAGTTTGAATAGTGTAAGTAGTACAATTATGCTGACAAATCTCAAAAGAATAAGTGCCTTCTGAATACCGGGATGATGTACCTATTGGTTCAATACACAGACGTAGGGAAGGGGAGCAGCTACTGCGAAAACGGAGGAGTTGGTGGTGAAGACGAGGGGCTACTGATGATGAAGGGGTGGAGCTGCCAGTCAAGGGGAGGGGCTGATAATAAAGAATGAGGTTATGATGATGAAGGGGTGTAGCTGGTCATAAAGAATGGGTGGAGCTAATAAACAAGAGGAGGAGCTGATCATAAAGAGGGAGATTATAATGAAGGGGAGGGGCTTATCATTAAGAAGGGCGGTTATAATGGAGAAGGGGAGGGGCTTATCATAAAAAGAGAAGGTTATGTAAAAAGGGAGGGGCATATAAAGAAGGGGAGGTTATAATTAAGAAGGGGAGGTGCTGATCATAAAGAATTAGAGGTTATAAGGAAGAGGAGGGGCTGATCGTAAAGAAGGGGATGTTATATTGAAGAAGAGGAGGGGCTTATCATAAAGAAGGGCAGGTTATAATGAAAAAGGGGGGTCTTATTATAAGGAAGGGGAGGTTATAGTGCAGAAGGGGAGGGACTTATAAAGAAGGGGGTTATAATGGAGAAGGGGAGGGGCTTATAAAGAAGGGATGTTATAATGAAGAAGGGGAGGGGCTTATCATAAAAAGGGAAGGTTATGACGCAAAAGGGGAGGGGCTTAAAAGAATGTGGTTATGAGCAAGGGGTGGGGTTGGTCATAGAGAAGAGGAGAGGCTAATGGACAAGGGGAGGGGCTGGTCATTAATAAGGTGAGGTTATAATGAAGGGGAGGGGCTTATAAAGAAGGGGAGGTTATGGTGATGAAGGGGAGGGGCTGGTCATAAAGAATAAGAGGAGCTGAAGGACCATGGGAGGGGCTGATCTTAAATTGGGGTGTTCTGATGGGGATGAGTTAATTGAGAAGGGGAGGAGCTGATAATGGAAAGGGGAGGGGGCACGTCTTGAAAAGGAGTGTATGCAAGTTAAGGGGAGAAGCTGCCGATTAAGGGGAGGGGCTGTTAGGTGACTATTTATTTTGGATTGTGGAAGCATAATTCTTATGCTTAATAATTAAACTGATCATAAATCCTGCTGAGGGTGAATACTGTGTCATATGATGGTTATTTGTTTTGTTAATATTTCTTTCATTAACTTGGGCACCTTTAAGCACAGATCGAGGAGCATGAAAGCATGTTGTTTCTACAGAATGTTTTGTTGATCTTTGTTGTTGGTACTTTGTATGCATATTACATTACAGTCATTCATGTAAGATCTAAACAGTTATATCTGTGCTGTCTGGTTTATTTTAAATCGTCTACTTGAGAATAACGTTTAAATATCGACTTTTATCAATAACAAACATGTTTGCATGAAAATGAAGCTTTGACAAGGTTGTGTGTGTGTGTGTGTGTGTGTTTCAGGACTCCTCTGCACTGCGCCGCGTCCTGTAATAATGTGCAGGTGTGTAAGTTCCTGGTGGAGTCTGGAGCGGCCGTGTTCGCCATGACCTACAGCGACATGCAGACGGCAGCCGATAAGTGTGAGGAGATGGAGGAGGGATACACTCAGTGCTCGCAGTTCCTCTACGGTAAGCGTGGGAAGATTCTCCATTCACTCTGTGCATGGGTACAAATAGTACTTGTTCTAGCTTCTATGGAAAGTCAAAGGTTAATGTTTCAGCATTCTTCAAAATATCTTCTTAAGTGTGACAATAAAAAATTCACAGGAGGGAGAATAATTGTCAGATTTGTCCAATATCTTGCAACCCTTGTTTTAAGCTTGTCTTTATAGCACATGTGTTGGTTTCTCACTTCAGGTGTGCAGGAGAAGATGGGCATCATGAACCGTGGTGTGGTGTACGGGCTCTGGGACTACGAGGCGGCGCAGGAGGACGAGTGCTCCTTCCGAGAGGGTGACTGCATGAGTGTGATCCGCCGAGAGGATGAGCTGGAGACCGACTGGTGGTGGGTGCGCTGCGGCGGTGCGGAGGGATACGTGCCCAGAAACCTGCTCGGGGTGAGTGATGACAACACACAGCATAAAGAATATCGCGAGAAAAGCATCGATGATATGTCAGTATCTGTAAATAAAGATGAAGTGTGTCAAACGTCACACACATCAAGTATTTAATAACTAACATCACATATGTTGTCAATAATAAATGGAGCTTATTGGATTCTCGGAGGCTGTGGAAAATAAAGATGAAAATGCGTGAAAAATATTACATTTATTGTTGTTTACAACCTTCAAAATAATTTTTAATGTTTTGTTTTTTTCTTTCTTCACAGCTGTATCCCAGAATTAAACTTCGCCAACGGAGTCTGGCTTAAGTGAACACACACACACACACACACATTACACACACACACATTACACACACACAACAAGCAGCTGGTCAACTCCACTAGTTAATGACGCCTGTTTTTATATCTGATGTTACAGTGTTGTTTTTCTGTCTCTTTTTTAACCCTTGTGTGCTGTTCAGATTGACTCCTCTTTGGTGATGTTGCTGCTGCTTTTGCTCCATTGACTTCCATTATAATCACATTTATTGACTGTAAAGCCATGATAGCAGATCATCATTTAGTCATGAAGTGATTCTCAGTTTAATTGATGGTACATTTAACACAAAAACATTCTTGAAAAAAAGTGAAACTTTTCTTTCATAAGCTGAAATAAATGCGAGATTTGGGAGGAGAATAAGGCTGTGAGTATCGAGAGGTCATAGTGCATTATGATAACGAGACCCTCAATGCAAACTAATCTCCCTGTCATCTCTTTTCACCCTTTATACATAGTCTGCCGTAAATATTAGGTTGGAACACAGCGTTATGTTTAAACTGAGTTCAGTGTTGCAACACAAAAATATTTAGTAGTGTGCAAGTTGTCCCTTTAAGTCACAACTAGGTTATGTTTTAACTTACACACTGCTGGTGCAACCGGCCTGAACTCCATATAACAGACAGAAACTCTTTAGCACAGGCCGATCTAAAGAGTTAATGCTGACAACTGATGATCAACAGTATAAATGACACACTGCCCCTCTAAATCCCAACAGGGGAAACCAGAATGCTTGATGATCTGCTGTCATGGTTTTGCAGTCAATAAATGTGATTATAATGGAAGTCAAAAACAGCAGCAACATCACCAAAGGGGAGTCAATCTGAACTGTGTGTTGATGAGTTTTTGAACAATGTCAACACATTTTCCTAAAATATGCATCAAATTGAGATTTATCTCCATAAATCATCTCATTTGCTGAAACAGGGAAAACTGGGGCCAAGCTAAGCCTCAAAATCAGCCCAGAGTGGATGAAAACAACCCACCAGCACACACAGGGTTAAAGTGTCTGAATATACGTGACTAGCTCGAGTAGAATGTGCTTTACTTTTGATTTTTGCTCAAGCATGTGCTGGTCATTTTTACATCATGTTACACGATGCTTTAAAGACATTTATCATCAGAGAAAGATCAATGTTTTGATATGTTTGTCCTCTTATGAACAATGTTTTATACACGATGCTGGAAAACTGGCCTTAATACGCTGCATTTCTGGACCAATAGCGATCAACCGCTGAGACTTTGATTATGAGAGTGATGTTCTCAGATTTACTAAGACATTCCTTTATTAAATGCTGTGTTTGTGTATTCGTCTTCTAAATGATCTGACCAATCGGCAGCAGGAGGAGTGTCACATGATCAAACAATAATAAAAACACTGTGAAATCTGTCCTGTGAGGCGGCGGACTCCTGTAAACATTTCATCATCGAGGTGTTTTCTGCGTGTGAGGAGAGATTGTGATCATGATGCTAGCCACATAGTGAGGCTTAAGGTAGCACAGCAAGAAGATCACTGGTTCGAGCCTCGGCTGGTGCAATTGGTGTTTCTGTGTGGAGTTTGCATGTTCTCCCTGTGTTTTTGTGGGTTTCCTCTGGGTGCTCGGGCGCAGTCCTAACACATGCACTATAGGGGAACTGATCAACTAAACTAGCCGTAGTGTATGAGTGTGTGTGTAAATAAGAGTGTATGGGTGTTTCCCAGTGATGAAAGGGCATCTGCTGTGTAAAACATATGCTGGAATAGTTGGCAGTTCATTCCTCTGTGGCGATAAGAGATTAAGCCATAAAGATAAGGAATGAATTGTTGGTCTTAATGTGAATAATGAATCATTTAATAATGAATTAATCAGTCGATTCGCTTGTTTTTGGTAGTCTTTAATCAAAATCTGCTCTGGAATGGCTGTTCTTCTCTGATTGGGTGAAATATGTTTAGCCACGCCCCTCAAGCCATTAGTTTGCTAAGAGTAAAAAATAAGGGGTGGGGTTAAAATGAAACCCCACCCCCTATGTAATATTCCGTTTTAGTTGGAAACGCATCATCATACTGAAGAACAGGTCTTAGTGTGTGTATGTGTGTATGTGTGTGTGTGGATAACTGAAATTGTTTCTCTCTGAAACTGTGTGTGTGTAGATCAGTGTGTGTATCACTGTATCTGCGAGTTTGTGTGGATAACTGTGTGTGTGTGTTCATTGTCTACAGAAAGCGCAGCACAGATGTTAATCATGTTGATGAAAATGTCAAAGTTCAAGCGCTCTGAACACACACACACACACACACACACACACACACACACACACACACACTGAACTCTGCGTTTGGTTTTCTCTTATTTGTATGTTGGTTTCTGTAACAGTATTAAATGTGTGTATCAGCAGAACACAGGAGGTTGATGTTGAGGTTTTCCCCATGTTTACACACAATCAGAGGGAGAACAAGAGTGTGTGGGACAGCAGCTGTATTTCTGCATGCAGCGTGACGAAGAACACACACACATAAACACACACACACACACTTCCAAAACAAGCCCATGAATTACTAATGCAGGCTTTTGTTGCTTGATGAACTGTCATGAAAGACTCATAATAGAAGTGTGTAAGTGTATATATGTGTGGGAGTGTGTATGTGTGTTTGCACATATATGTGTTTATGTCTATGTGTGTCTGTGTATATTTTTGTGTTTTGTGTATATTTGTGTTTGTGTGTGTGTGTGTGTGTGCACGCTCTCTAAAGAGTCATGTAAGACTCATAATGGAAAGGTGTGTGTGTGTGTGTGTGTGTGTGTGTGCGTGCGTGTGTGTGTGTGTGTGTGTGTGTATAAATATAGCACTCAGTCACTCAGAGCAGTGTGTTGATGATGATGTCTGGCTCTCAGACGGTCAGTCTCCTGCTGCCGGCTGATGAAGCTGGAGGTCTGTATATCCTGATGCTCGTCTCGTTGTTTCCGCTCTACTACTGGATCCTCAAAGCAGGTCAGAGTCTGGAGTTCTTCTTTCACACTTTCTTTGTTTATAAGCAGTGAAATTAGGGTTTTTATAGGCTCTGGAAATGCTGGGTTTTTGTTGTAACCCAACGCTGAGTCAAACAAAATACAAACACAATCGTTGAGTTTGAAAAAGCTGTTAAATTTGATGTAAAATTCCGTTTTAATTGGAAATACTCAATTACATGATGTATATTATGCAGAAATGTTTTTTTATGACTTAAATTTGATGAACAAACAAAATTAACCTGACATTGGGTTTGTCCAAATTTGAATTTATGGGTTAATACGACCTAGCATTTTTTGAGGCTTCTCTTTGTTTTGATATAAATTAGTAATCAGCCAATCACATGGCAGCAGCTTAATGCATTTCGGCATGTAGACATGGTCAAGACGATCTTCTGCAGTTCAAAGTGAGCATCAGAATGGGGAAGAAAGGGGATTTAAGAGACTTTGATCGTGGCATGGTTGTTGCTGCCAGACGGGCTGCTCTGAGTATTTCAGAAACTGCTGATCTACTGGGATTTTCACGCACAACCATCTCTAGGGTTTACAGAGAATGCTCCGACAAAGAGGAAATATCCAGTGAGCGGCAGTTCTGTGAGCACAAATGCCTTGTTGATGAGGCCAGAGGAGAATGGCCAGACTGGTTCCAGCTGATAGAAAGGCAACAGTAACTCAAATAAGCACTCGCTACAACCGAGCTCTGCAGAAGAGCATCTCTGAACACACAACACGTCCAACCTTGAGGCGGATGGGCTACAGCAGCAGAAGAGCACACCGGGTGCCGCTCCTGTCAGCTAAGAACAGGAAACTGAGGCTACAATTCACACAGACTCACCAAAACTGGACAATAGAAGATTGGAGAAACGTTGCTGCTCTGATGAGTCTCCATTTCTGCTGACACATTCGGATGCTCGGGGAAACAAGACAATATGTTTGGCTTGTCTAGAAAATGCTTCTTGATTTAAGAATGTTTAGATATTTAAACTAGAAACAAGACAAAATATCTAAGTGAGAAAGGCATTTTTCCCCCAACAGAGAGTGCTAATTATATTTGAATATATTGTAGTTTTATTTAAAATATATGTCTTAAGTTTTTCTATTTATTTATTTGATATATTCAAATGTTGACTGTAAAATTAAGCTCATTTTTATCTGTTTATTATTGACTCATAGTAACATTCTTCACAGCATTCTCTTTAACTAAACCTGCATGTGTATCAGCATGTGTTTGCAAGTATTTGAGATGTTTGTTTTCCTCCAGAGAGTCCTGAAGATGAGCTGAAGATTTTCTCCTTCGTCTGCCATCGTCCTGAACAGCTGGAAATACTGCAGGAGGAAACTAAATTCAGCAAAACAGAGCTGCAGTTCCTCTACAGGGGCTTTAAGAACGTGAATACACATATAACATCAGCACATTACACTTCTCCCTCCACACATTACCAAAAAACCGACTCTCAAATGTACTTGAAACTGCAGTGCAGGGATGGACATAAACTCCAAAGAATAATGACGTATTTTATGTGTACTTGGTTTGTAGTTGTTTTTACTCTTTTGATTGAGTGGCTTATTACGCTTATTTTTTTCACATATTAGTCAGATTAAAGCTGCAATGCTAATTATTATCCACAGTCTCTAATCAGCTACAGAAACACTCAAATGCATGCTACACACAAATAAATTAATTAATATCCTATAAATAAATAAATGACACATTAGAGTTAGTGTTATTAGTCACTTCTTAAAATGTCTATCATATCATCATAATTGACTTCTTTAGATATTTCTCAGATTGGTGTATAATTAATTGCGTGTGTGTTGTGTTTTGACAGTGTGTGAGTGATCAGATGTTGTGTGTTTCAGGAGTGTCCCAGTGGATATGTGAATGAGAAAGTGTTTAAACTCATTTACTCTCAGTTCTTCCCTCAGGGAGGTGAGAAGCTGCAGAATACACTTTATTTTGCTGCAAATTAACTTATAACTTCAATTTCTTTTATGTTTAATTTAATTTAGTCATTTAGCAGATGCTTTTGCCTAAAGCGGCGTTCAGTTGACTTTATATTTTAATGTTTCTACTGTGGTTTGTTAGTGTTTGTAAAATGTATTTTAATTTAATTTAGCCCAAATACTATTTTCTTGTAAAGTTTTTACTGTTGTTGCAACAGCACAAGCAGGTTTTCCCTCATATTAAACAAAGATATGACCGTTTATTGTTGATTATGGATGTGTGTTTTCTCTCTCTCAGATTCGTGTGTGTATGCTCATTTTCTATTTGAGGCTTTTGATACGAACAGAAATGGCTGTCTTAGCTTTCAGGTGAGCTTTTTGAGATTTTATCAAACACACACTCACAAAACCATTTCTCACATTAGTGTTTGTTGGTGTTTCAGGAGTTTGTCGCTGGTCTGTCGCTCATCCTCAGAGGCTCCATGTATGACCGACTGAACTGGGCCTTTAATTTCTATGACCTCGATAAAGACGGATTCATCACCAGAAAGGTATTTCAGATTCCAGGGTGGATTACTAATGAATTACAATCTGGTTACTGATTACAAATTACAAGACAAAATGTGTAGTCAGTAATATAATCTCTTAGATTACACCTTTATGTTACTTTTATGTCATGTACCTATAACACTTTTGTACTTTTTAGGTACTAATATGCACTCTTGAGGTGTTAATATTGACGTTTTAGGTACAAATTTGTACCTTTTGAAAAGGCACCACCCTAGTGACAGCTTGTGTACCTTTACAAGTACTTAATCCAGATTGCATTATCATATGAATCTGACTGGTTTACATCCCTATAATGCACTGCTGTAATGATGTAAACACATCTGTGTGTTTTTTTTTTCAGGAGATGATGAACGTCATGAAGTCCATATATGATATGATGGGGAAATATGTGCATCCGGAGATTAATGAGGAAACTGCCAGAGAACATGTGGAGAACTTCTTTCAGGTGAAAATACTACAGTAAATACTAGTGCTTTGAACCATACTGTGGTTATACACGATACATTATAATATTTAAAGCTCTTCAGGATGCTCCAGCATTAACTATAGTGAACTGATATAATATAATAAATATTGTAGTATACTATACTAGTTTTTACTGTAGTAAACCGAGGTGTATTCCAGTATAATATACCCAATAGTTGTAGAAAACTACTGTACCGGGTCATTTGCTACTAGTACTAGTGTGGTAGAAACAACACAACACATCAATTATTATTGTGGTTGTGTTACCATAGCAACTGTAGAATCATCATGACAGAGCAATTACTGTAGTTGTGTCGTGTTACCATAGCAACTGTAGAATCATCATAACAGATCATTTACTGTAGTTGTCGTGTTACCATAGCAACTGTAGAATCATCACAACAGATCAATTACTGTAGTTGTCGTGTTACCATAGCAACTGTAGAATCATCACAACAGATCAATTACTGTAGTTGTCGTGTTACCATAGCAACTGTAGAATCATCACAACAGATCAATTACTGTAGTTGTCGTGTTACCATAGCAACTGTAGAATCATCACAACAGATCAATTAGTGTAGTTGTCGTGTTACCATAGCAACTGTAGAATCATCATAACAGATCATTTACTGTGGTTGTGTTACCATAGCAACTGTAGAATCACCACAACAGATCAATTACTGTAGTTGTTGTGTTACCATAGCAACTGTAAATAATTTTTAAGTTTATAAAGTTGTCATTCTGCATTGCGGGAAACAGCTTTTCATGCCCTCAAACAGATTTGTCCAGCCCAAATGCAGCAATGAACAGATGAAAATCATCCTTCTTGCTCTTCTAAACAACATCACATGCACGTATAAACCTGTTTAACCAGTTTACACTGAAGTGACTTGAAGGAGTTTAAGAAAGTTGTCATTCTGTGTTGTGATAAACCGCTTTTAGGCCCTAAAACAGTGCTTCAGGACAAATATTGTTGCAAATAAAAGTGTAATAAAGTTGCTTATACTTTGACAGTGGACCCTGCTTGACTGAAAGGTTTTAGCTTTTGTTTTTAAAACGTTCAGACAACATTGAAAGGTAACATTCCCATAATGCCTGCTGAATGATAGAAAGAAGAAGAAGTGTTTAATAATCAATCCTGAATCTGATCAATGTTTGCAGAAAATGGACAGAGACAGAGATGGAGTGATCACTATCGAGGAGTTCATGGAGTCCTGTCAGAAGGTGCATTTCTCCATCACTCGTTCATTTATTATTATCACAACATTCATTAAATAATACAGTACAATACAAACAGCTTAGAGTGACCATCAGCCAATCAAAACCATTCAGCAGACATGTCATATAGTCTGAGATAACTGAAGCAGTTCATTTGCTGAAGCGGTTTCTGTGATATGGTCATTAAAGTGTTGCTGTTTCTTTTATCTGTCTTTGTCTTGTGTGTTTATGTGAGGATGAGAACATCATGCGCTCGATGCGGCTCTTTGACAGCGTCTTCTAGAAGTGTCTGCTCGCTCTGGATTCATCTCTCTCCTGTATGAATATCTCTTTTCGTTTAGAGACACAATGAACTTCATCGGTGGGATCTTCTTCTCTGAACACTAAGCTAATAAGCATTTCACACCTGTAACCCTGCTGTTTGGACTGAAGATTGGACTGCAAAAAACCCTCTTTTTCATTCTGTTCCATTGCAGCCATTTGCTAAAATAATTTGAGTTCATTTTTCCCTTATTAATGTACACACAGCAGCCCATATTGATGGAAAAACACAGAATTGCTGACATTTTTGCAGATTTATTAAAAAAAGAAAAACTGAAATATCACATGGTCAAAAGTATTCAGACCCTTTTAAAGTTGTCTATTGAAGACAGAGTAATACTGGAGTTTTACACATTGTACAGTGACTCTGATGTGTGTGTGTGTGTGTATATATATATATATATATATATATATATATATATATATATATATATATATATATATATATATATTAAAGATTTAAGAATAAAAAAGAAAGAGTGTGTGTTTCATTTGATAAATTAATTAGCCTATACCCAGGTAGCAAAGAATTCTGGCCCAGATTTGGCATAAATCTGGCACAGCAGGCATTCATCCGGCACTGGCATACAGCATGTGGACCAAACATGGCCCTGGTTTGGCAGAGGTGGGACCGTCTTTAAAAAAGCACACAATACTTGGGATGGATGTAAATTGTAGTATTTGGCCCAGATGTTAATAATTGATATGTGGGTCATGTAAGTTGACTCACATTTAAAATACATTTTTACTATTTTTAAATTCTACCAATCAGGTTCTTTTGAAAAAAAGCACCTCCATAGCATGCCTAAATCGCAATGATTCATGGGTTTATCAGTTTCATTGCAGTTGTGACCCACCAACATATCTGGCCCAGTTCAGGCTCAGTTATGGGTTATTACTCTTGTCTGGAAGTCAGACTTGGTCCAGTCATGTACTGTAATTCAGGGGTTCCCAAACTTTTCAGCCTGCAACTCCCAATATGACGATGCCAGTGACTCGCGACCCCCAATATCTTGGTTATGAATACAGAAACCTTGCATGCAATGTCACACACCAATACACCCAGGGATATTCTTTGTTTAATGTCAGTGAGGTAAATGGGCCAGAAACTTTAACCTGGTGTTATAAAATCAATCTGCAGCATCTGACGCTATTGCTGTGTCTTTAATATAATGTAATTACCACTGGGGTCGCAATCCAATAGAACTAGTAACTATAAGCTACTAAAGTAACTATATAGTAATTATAAACAACTGTATTTTTTCTGTAGGTTATGGATAAAATATGGTCATTCCTATATGATTTAATAATAATAAATAGATTTTTTTAAATCACCAGGCAACCCCCCTTCATTGTCCTGCGACCCCTCGAGGGGTCCCGACCCCCACTTTGAGAACCCCTACCGTAATTCACTGCGGCATGTGGGCCAAGCAAAAGCTGGATGTGTGGGCCAGAACTGGGCCAGAGATATTTTGCCATGTGGGTAATCGTACAAAGCACATGAACAAGTGTAAATCACACACATAATTTACACTGTGATGATACCCACGACAAATACCATGGTAAATACTATACTGTTCTTGAGCCACACTATAGTATTGTGAATTATAGCGAGGCTACTGTATATTCAAGCAAATGCAAACAACTCTTTGTTATTGAATGCTGCAGCATGCTGTAGTAATAACTATAGTGAACTGATCAATACACTTTATGTGTTTACTACAGTAAACTGTGGTGTGTTGTAGTATAATTAACCCTATAGTTGTAAAAAAAAATATATATATATATATATATATATACTACAGTATTGGGTCATTTTGGGGACGGCACAGTGGCTCAGTGGTTAGCACTGTGGCCTCACAGCAAGAAGGTCTCTGGTTTGAGTCTCGGCTGGGTCAGTTGGTGTTTCTGTGTGGAGTTTGCATGTTCTCCCCAGTGTTGGCGTGGGTTTCCTCCGGGTGCTCCGGTTTCCCCCACAGTCCAAACACATGCGCTATAGGGGAACTGATCAACTAGTGTATGAGAGTGTGTGTGTGTGAGAATGAGTGTGTATGGGTGTTTCCCAGTACTTGGTTGCAGCTGGAAGGTTATCTGCTGTGTAAAACATATTTGGCAGTTCATTCCTCTGTGGCGACCCCTGATGAATAAGCAACTACCGGTAAGCCGAAGGAAAGTGAATGAATGTGGATTTTTTTAAATAACTCTACTGAAAAATCCAGCTTAAACCTGCCTAGGCCGGTTGGCTGGTTTTAGCTGGTCGACCAGGCTGGTTTTAAAGGTGTTTTGGCCATTTCCAGGCTGGTTTCCAGCCATTTCCAGCCTGGTCTTAGCTGGTCAGGCTGGAAAATGACCAGCTAAAACCAGATTGACCAGCCTGGTTTAAGTTGGACATAGCTGGTTTTGGCTGGGTTCCCAGCCAGGCTAGGCTGGTCAAGCTGGTTTTAGCTGGTCATGGCTGGAAACCAGTCTGGAAATGGCCAAAACACCTCTAAAACCAGCCTGGTCGACCAGCTAAAACCAGCCAACCAGCCTAGGCTGGTTTAAGCTGTTTTTTCCAGTAGGGAACTATTACTTCTGGCAATAAACAGTCCTTTTTCCACACTCACGAAAATTCTCCGATATTCGTCAAATGTTTTGGAGGTCACAGTAAACACACTCTGTAGTGTACAGTACACACACTTCTGTACAGTAACGAAAGAACACACTCCAGTCCAGTATATGCGCTCAAGTCTCGTCTCCACTGAATCTCGCGAGAGTCCCAGAGTGAAACGCTTGTGCATGCGTGTAAATATCGCGAGAGTGTCAGAGTGATCAGCTTCCGGCGCTGGACTCTCAGCAGAGGTAAAAACACGAGAGAAAACAGAAATCTATGTAGTTACACAGACACTGTTATAATAAAAGTCATTAATAAAAGCGTAACAAAGCTGACATTGCAGGAGCCGGAGTAGTTACTGGCACCGCGAGCTCGCTTTTTAGGACACTTTGCCAAACTCCTGTGCCCACATCAGTAATACTATAGTAATCTATAGTAAATACTGTAGTGTTAATGAACCACCATAGTATAATGACATCTTATATACTGTACATATTATAGTATGTACACCTGTAGTATGAACTAGTTAACTGACAATGAATACTGTAGTGTATACTTTAGTTGTTTACTACACTAAGCTGTGCTGTGGTGTAAGCTACAGCACTGGCTCATTTGTTTATATTACTGTAAGTTAGTTATTATAGCAATTAGAATCACCACAACAGATTCATTCAAGTATTTTACTGAAAACACTGTGGTATTTTACTATAAATGACTATATTCTGTGTGGAGTTTGCATGTTCTCCCCGTGTTGGCATGGGTTTCCTCCGTGTGCTCCGGTTTCCCCCACAGTCCAAACACATGCGCTATAGGGGAACTGATCAACTAGTGTATGAGAGTGTGTGTGTGTGAGAATGAGTGTGTATGGGTGTTTCCCAGTACTTGGTTGCAGCTGGAAGGTTATCTGCTGTGTAAAACATATTTGGCAGTTCATTCCTCTGTGGCGACCCCTGATGAATAAGCAACTACCGGTAAGCCGAAGGAAAGTGAATGAATGTGGATTTTTTTAAATAACTCTACTGAAAAATCCAGCTTAAACCTGCCTAGGCCGGTTGGCTGGTTTTAGCTGGTCGACCAGGCTGGTTTTAAAGGTGTTTTGGCCATTTCCAGGCTGGTTTCCAGCCATTTCCAGCCTGGTCTTAGCTGGTCAGGCTGGAAAATGACCAGCTAAAACCAGATTGACCAGCCTGGTTTAAGTTGGACATAGCTGGTTTTGGCTGGGTTCCCAGCCAGGCTAGGCTGGTCAAGCTGGTTTTAGCTGGTCATGGCTGGAAACCAGTCTGGAAATGGCCAAAACACCTCTAAAACCAGCCTGGTCGACCAGCTAAAACCAGCCAACCAGCCTAGGCTGGTTTAAGCTGTTTTTTCCAGTAGGGAACTATTACTTCTGGCAATAAACAGTCCTTTTTCCACACTCACGAAAATTCTCCGATATTCGTCAAATGTTTTGGAGGTCACAGTAAACACACTCTGTAGTGTACAGTACACACACTTCTGTACAGTAACGAAAGAACACACTCCAGTCCAGTATATGCGCTCAAGTCTCGTCTCCACTGAATCTCGCGAGAGTCCCAGAGTGAAACGCTTGTGCATGCGTGTAAATATCGCGAGAGTGTCAGAGTGATCAGCTTCCGGCGCTGGACTCTCAGCAGAGGTAAAAACACGAGAGAAAACAGAAATCTATGTAGTTACACAGACACTGTTATAATAAAAGTCATTAATAAAAGCGTAATAAAGCTGACATTGCAGGAGCCGGAGTAGTTACTGGCACCGCGAGCTCGCTTTTTAGGACACTTTGCCAAACTCCTGTGCCCACATCAGTAATACTATAGTAATCTATAGTAAATACTGTAGTGTTAATGAACCACCATAGTATAATGACATCTTATATACTGTACATATTATAGTATGTACACCTGTAGTATGAACTAGTTAACTGACAATGAATACTGTAGTGTATACTTTAGTTGTTTACTACACTAAGCTGTGCTGTGGTGTAAGCTACAGCACTGGCTCATTTGTTTATATTACTGTAAGTTAGTTATTATAGCAATTAGAATCACCACAACAGATTCATTCAAGTATTTTACTGAAAACACTGTGGTATTTTACTATAAATGACTATATTCTGTGTGGAGTTTGCATGTTCTCCCCGTGTTGGCATGGGTTTCCTCCGTGTGCTCCGGTTTCCCCCACAGTCCAAACACATGCGCTATAGGGGAATTCATTCATTCATTTTCTTTTCGGCTTTCCCTTTATTCATCAGGGGCCGCCACAGCGGAATGAACCGCCAACTTATTTAACATATGTTTTACGGAGCAGATGCCCTTCCACCTGCAACTCATCACTGGGAAACACCCATACACATTCATTCACACACATACACTACTACGGAAAATTTAGCCTACCCAATTCTATAGCGCATGTGTTTGGACTGTGGGGGAAACCGGAGCACCCGGAGGAAACCCACGGCGACACCTATAGGGGAGTTGATGAACTAAATTGGCCGTATGGGTGTTTCCCAGTACTGGATTGCAGCTGGAAGGGCATCCACTGTGTAAAACGTATGCCGGGATAGTTGGCGGTTCATTCCGCTGTGGTGTCCCCTGATGAATAAGCTGAAGGAGAATGAATTAAAAATATTATGTGTGTGTGTGTGTGTGTGTGTGTGTGTGTGTGTGTGTGTGTGTGTGTGTGTGTGTGTGTGTGTGTGTGTGTGTGTGTTTCAGATGTCAGACGGGCTCCTGATGGAGGTGTGTGTGGACTCAGTTGAGTCTGCCATAA